ATAAGCTTATTAAAGATTCTAGGAAAAATAGAATGAAATAATTTATAAGTTGAGACTAATGTTCATTTTTTCATATAATTCCACATGTTCACATTTGCTATGACTATAAAGAAATAGGAATTGTTTATGGTCACTTTTGTATCTATTACATATAAGCAATGCAGACTATGTTTTACTGGAAGCCATTATGCCTCGGGAAGCAATATCCAGCAGTGGCTTGGAAGTAAACTGATAATTCAAATGCTGATGGTTCTATTACCTCTGCTTCTAACGTGATCTACAACTGCCTGTAACTGCTTGGTATTCTTCAGACACATTTTGCTTATTTTGAAAACAAGAGTGATGCAACAGGATACAAGGGTATAATGGCTTATCTGGTTTAAAGAGGCAGTTACAACTTTTGAATATGTGCCAGTGTGTGACTTTGGAAAGTCCCTATGTACCTTCCTTCCTAGTTTCCTTTTGTCCAAAAATAAGTATAAAAATATCTCACAAATATACTATAAGCACCATATGAAAAAAACATACATGGATATAGTGTAGAAATGGCAATGAGTTCTACACAAACAATTTTTAAAAATCAAAAAGGTTTATTTAGAATATACCAAACTACCAAAAATTACATTATTGATTGAAAAAATATGTATCTTTGTCTCTAGGGGTATAAAATATACTGTATTTATATAGCAACTAGATATATACAAATGTAGCAACATCAGATATTCATATATATGGAGAAAATATGCTAAAAGAAAAATATGTATATATACACATATACATATGTATAAATACTATGTGTATATATGTACATACATTCACTTACATAGGAACATTTTTTTTGTGTGTATATATATATATATGCTTAATAGATGCTGTGGATAATGATTTCAGCAATAATTTTAAAAATTAGATAAAAAGGATTATTAAAAAAATTAAAAGTATTCTAAGTTAAATACTATATAAGTATTTACTTAGTTGATATAATCTTGGAGATCATTGCGCTGCTATGAAAGCACACGTATAACCATTTTTAAGAACTGAGAAAGCCTAAAGAGTAATATAGATATTTAATTAGTGAATTTTTAAATCACAACTTCCATTTCCCATTAATTCAACACAAAATCTATATTTCTGATTTTCTCCTTTTCTATATAAAAGTTGTCAATGTTAAAAAAAAATGAAGAGAGAAAGTAAGTAGTCAGCAGAAAGTTTTACTTAAGTCACTTTTATACATCTATGAAAGAACATTGGTATTTGGATACTATGTAAAATTTTATATTTAGGTACTTTAGATATTATGTTTATACAGTTAGAAAGTCTACGCATTTATGAAACTAAACAACATCATGGATTGTACAGTTAAAAAAACAAGGAAATGGGATTTACTACTCTTCCACTAACTCCTCCAAGAACCCTCACTTATGTTACAGAAATAAAGACCTAGCCTTCAGAAGACTTACCTTTTCTCCTACATGCCTGAATCTGCACCTATTGCCAACATTCCTTTGGCCATGCCTGATAAAATAACACGTTGTTGTGCAGGTATTGTATTTCATCTTAGGGGCAACTTTCTAGGATCTAAATTAGATCAAAATCAACTTACAATTTCAAAATGTGCCTTTAGCATTTAAGTATCTTAAGGGGTTTTATTTTTGGTGAAGGGTAAACTTTTACAATAAGCCTTTCTTATATAGAAATTCTAATCCACTGTAATCTCCTTTATAGGTATCCTTCCTTCCAAGTAATCTATAATCAACCATCACAACTGAAGACTTACCTTTTTATTTTTTAATTATTACAATTAAACTTACTAAAAATACACACATCAAACAATTCATTGTCCAGTTCTGCTAAATATAGCTACATTCCTTCCTCTCCAATTAAAACTCATGACACTAGTTTAAGATCCATTTTGTCCCAGATCTTTTTCTGCAATGTAGGATTTAAGCTCATCACAGCTATTAACGTTTCTTAGTTAATATATCTTATGGTGGCTCAACAAAGTACGTAATGCAAACTCTAAAAAGGCAGTACCAAGAACACAGGAACTAAAAAAAAATAAAATGTTTGAAAAATGTAGTTTTAAAAAAGCCAACAAATGATTTTAATCTTAAGTTTGCCTGTTTGTTCATGTCCTATACTTTGACAGCCACTTACGTATGTATGTATGTATGTATGTATGTATGTATGTATGTTCCCCTATTTTTCTGTGCCAATGTCAGTTCTATTAAACAAGGTTGTAACATATTTCTCTTTTATTATTCTTCAATATGCTAGGGGCATCATTTTCCAGTTTTTCTAGCACATATAATGAAAAATCTATATAGTTTTATGAGTTATAAGAAGGGCTTGGGTAATAAAAATGAGAACATTTACAGCCCTCAGTTCTTTGATAACAGATAGCATTTTGGATAGGTACCTTCAAAGGTGACATTTTTGTTCTTCATATGAGTTTTATGAATGTTTGCTTTATATTTTATCTCAGTGACTTTTCATCTTGTAAGATTAGCCTTGTACTGTTCATGCTACAAAAGATGCATATGGTATTGTGGTTTTCTTCCTTTATTGAACAATTTTATACATGTAATAATACCTTTTGGTGGACATTTGTGGAGTGTTCTTTAGAGGAACAATCACATTACAATCTCAGAGCTGTTCTATCCTTTATTTTAGGTTATGAAGGAAAAGTATGTAATAACAAATTTCTCTAGAAACACTGATATTTAAAGCTTTCAACAATATAAGACATTACAACGAAATGACTTAAAGATGAGAATATTATAGGCTTAAGTCTATTTAACTGTTTAATATATGTTAATTCGTCCAGATAACTTAAGAGTATGATATATACGTATGTCTGTGTACAGGTCTATGTCATAATGTAAGTATTTAATAGTTGATATAAATGACAACCAAATGTATTACTATAGTCTCTAAATATTACTCTTAAGAAAATAATTCTAGGCACTACATACTATTTAATATTCTACAGAATTGTATATGTGTAATCTTTCAATGTAGCATATAATAAAGTTAGTTCACATATTCATAATTTTTATAATACTGCACAGAGTTCCCAGTGGCCAAACCATTAACATGTTTTCTTATTCTATAAGTATTTAAGCTTATGTGTGAGTGTATTACACTAATGAGATCTTGTTACCTACACTTCATTTTCTTTATACCTATTATTGTACACAAATTCTGCATATTTTCCATTTGTTGTATGGGTAATCATTTTTTGATCAATTTTAATTGTGACATCATGAGTAAAATCTATCTTAGACTTTGGGCAAATCCTTCCTGTTAATCCATGTCTCTTTCAAATCTCACTCAGATGACAAATATTTTTCTCTTTCAGACTATTTTCAAAAAAGAATTAACAGATTTTCTTAGACCTTGAAGTTTGCCAGCACCCCTACTTACAATGTTGTTTAACTGGGATTTTTCTTGTGTGATTATACATAGGAGAATAACAATGTAATTTCTAACTGAAAATAAAAATTATTCTAAAAAAATAAAAAATAGTCCTCAAATAGAAATTATTTTATTTTTCTTTCCAGGTCTACAGAGAAACCTAGAAAGTATTAGCACACTACAAGTTAACTTGAAATTCTGAGTATATTCTCAGGCTACCGTCTTGTCTCATGGGATGCTAGGGTTTCGTTATTAAATCTGTTTTCTTTCTAATTTTTTTTCTAAGCAGCTTCTGAATCACATTATCCCAGACTCATTTTAAGGTTTAGGTTTTCCCGCTATTTCTATTACCCTAGAAGTAGGCCTTTGACTGCCCATATATTGCAGATATTTTATCAGAAAACGACAGCAAAATGATGCTCTTGTCTTTGTCATGTTTGAAATTTAGAATGTGGGGTTAAAAAAATAACGTAAAAGAACTCACAAGATCTGTTAAAGATCATTTAAGAGTTCCTGCATGATTAGATGCTAGGTTATAGGAAGATCATGCTGTAGGACTGGCTATGAATTCAAGATTCTGTGATATTTATTAAGGTAACATAAAACACAGCAATATTAACAAGATTTATGGTAGTTAGTACAGCTTAGCCCACTTAACACAACCAGGACATAACACATTCTTTGAACAAGTAGATTTAAAATTTTAAATAAAGCCTTGATTACTAGCGAAGATACTTCCCTTATGTCATCTTTTTTTTTTAATTCTTTTTGTTACTAGAGCCTGATTACTTTTTAAGCACTGTGTTACTTACATTACTAGAATTATCTCAGTAATCTACACAAATCCCATGACATCAGTGTACTTATTAATCTAATTTGCTGACAACTATACTTAAGTCTAAGGATACATAATAAGTAGGTACAGAGTCAGAATTCAAACTGAAATCTGGTTGCCTGCATAACAAGAATGCTTAACTTCTTTAATGACGAAGAGAATAATGAGAATAGAGGAGATCAAGTGATTTCACAGCAACGATATCACTTATATTACATCTATGCATTGATTAACAGAGGGCAATTTTACCACTTCCTTACCAATAGGGAACATTTCATAATGGTACTAATCTTGTCTTTGTTTTAAAAGTTGCAATTTTGTTAATCATTAATTTTAGTACAATTTTTAATTTTTAAAAAATATTGTATTAAAATATTGATCCTGATCAATCAGTTTTTGGGTATCTCCTTTAAATTTCTACCCATGGCAAACACCTCATTCACCATACCCCATTCCTGATCTTCTAGAACCTTTTTGTTGTGTGTTTCTTACAGTTTTAAAAACAATAATTGACAAATAACAATTGTATAAATTTACGGAGGGCAATCTGATGTTTTGCTATATATACACATATATATGTGTACGTATCTATCTATCTCTCTACAATGTGTGAGTGTATATATATAAGTTTAAGCATATATCTTATATATGTGTATATATATCTATACACACACACAAAGATTTGTAGATAGATTAAATCACGTGAGTTAACATGTCCATCACTTACCTACTTATTTTTCGTGGTGAGAACATTAAAAATCAATTTTGAAATATACAATAAATTAGTATTAACTATAGCCATCATAATGTGCAATAAATCTCTAAAATGTATTCTTTCTATCTAGCTGGAACTTTGTACTCTTTGATCAACTTTTTTCCTTTCCCCACTGCTACACCCACTTTGGTCAACATAACTCAAGATGCTACTGCCTTCTAGTGGGTAGATGACAGGGATGCTGCTAAATATCCAAAAATGCACAGGACAGCCTCCACCAATAAGTATCCAGTCCAACATATCAACAGTGCTGTAACTGAGAAATCCAGGGAGAGTAAGCTCTTCATGAATTATAAAAGCCTTTAATACTCATTATCTGATTCAACCACTTTCAACCACTATGTCAGATGATGTTTAAAAATACATTGAATCCTACATCTCTTCTCCATGTTTATTCTCTTAACATTTGCTATGATGTTCATTATAAATGTTTGTTTCTATGCATTTATAGATCAAACTGCATCTATCAATCTCCTAGGTCTGCCATAAAAAATTTCCACAAAATTAGAGGTTTAAAGCAAAAGAACTGTATTTTTTCATAGTTATAGGGGTCAGAAGACAAAAATGAAGATGTCAGCCAAGCCACAGTCTTTCGAAGATACTAGAGATACTACTCTTCTAGCTTCTGGTGGCTCCATGCATTTTTTTTTTTCCTTAGGTGCACATTTTACAAATGTCTGCCTCTATCTTTACATAACCTTGTCCCGGTGTGTCTTTCTCTACCTACATGTTCTTATTTTTTTGTTGTTTTTCTGAAAAACACCTATCATTACATTTATGGTTCACCTGGTGAAACCAGAATGGTTTCATATCAAAATCTTTCACTTAAACCTGAAAGGCCCTTTTTTCCAAATAGGATCATGATCACAGGTACCAGGGTTAAGATTTGAACAAATACTCTGAAGGGTACAGTTCAACCCACAAAATTGGGATATTCATATTTGTGGAAATTTCCTTCATTTTATATTATCTTATGCTATAAACCTCATTCTAAATTAAAATAATAAAAAAAATTACTAATGTCCACATGGGAGAATCTGAATAAACATGAAGATTATGCTAAGAAACCTTTTAAAGGATTAAAATAATAAAAATATTTTGACTTGAAGAAGATGTAAAGGAAAGGCAACAGCATTGCCTAAGGGTGACAAGAGAATGGATATTTATTAAATGTCCACTGCCACTTTGGTGCTATGCTAGCATATACACACACTATACAAAGAAAATACAATCAAGAAGGTTTTTTTCAAGCACCAACAAATAAACACATCCTTGATATGGTTTGGCTGTGTCCCCACACAAATCTCATCTTGAATTGTCACTCCCATAATTCTCATGTGTTGTGGGAGATAACCTGTGGGAGATAATTGAATCATTGGGGTGGTTTTCCCCATACTGTTGTTGTGGTAGTGAATAGCCTTATGAGACGTGATGGTTTTATAAGGGAAAGTCCCTTTCACTTGGTTCTCCTCTCTTTTGATTTCTGGCATGATTGTGAGGTCTCCCCAGCTATGTGGAATTGTGAGTCCATTAAACCTCTTTTGCTTTATAAATTACCCAGTCTCAGATCTGTCATTATCAGCACTGTGAAAATGGATTAACACAATAAATTGGTAACAGTAGAGTGAGGTGCAGTTCTAAAGATACCAGAAAATGTGTAAACAACTTTGGAACTGGGAAACAGGCAGAGGTTGGAACAGTTTGGAGGGCTCAGAAGAAGACAGAAAAATGTGAGAAAGTTTGCAACTTCCCAGAGATCTGTTGAATGGCTTTGACCAAAACGCTGATAACAATATAAACAAAGAAATCGAGGCTGAGGTGGTCTCAAATAGAAATGAGGAACTTGTCGAGAACTGACGTAATGGTGACTCTTGCTATGTTTTAGTGAAGCAAAGGGTGGCATTTCGTCTCTGCCCTAGAGATTTGTGGAACTTTGAGCCTGAGGGAGATGATTTAGGAGATCGGACAGAAGAAATTTCTAAGCAGCAAAGCATTCAAGATGTTACTTGGGTGCTGTTAATAGCATTGAGTTTTAAAAGGGAAACAGAGCATAAATCTTTGAAGAATTTGCAGCCTGATGGTGCGATAGAAAAGAAAAATCCATTTTCTAAGGAGAAATTCAAGCTGGCTGCAGAAATTTGCATAAGTAATGAGGAACCAAATGTTAATTGCCACAACAATGGGGAAAATGTCTAAAGGGCATGTTAGAGACCTTTGCAGCAGCCCCTCCTATTACCAGCCCAGAGGCCTATGAGAAAAAAAATATAGTTTTGTGGGCCACACTGAGGATCCCCTGCTATCTGCAGCCTAGGTACTTGGTGCTGTGTCCCAGCCACTCTAGCCATGGCTAAAAGAGGCCAAGGTACAGCTCAGGTCATGTCTTTAGAATGTGCAAGCCACAAGCCTTGGCAGCTTCCACATGGGGGTTGAGCCTGCAGATACACAGAGTCAAGAATTGAGGTATGTGAACCTTTGCCTAGATTTCAGAGAATGTATGGAAACATCTGGATGTCCCAGCAGAAGTTTGCTGCAGGACTGGGGCCCTGATGGAAAACTTCTGCTAGGGAAGTGCAGAAGGCAAATGTGAGGTTGATGCCCCCATACAGAGTTCCTACTCAGGGACTGCCTCATGAAGCTATGAGAAGAAGGCCACTGTCCTTTAAACCCCAGAATGGTAGATCCACCAACAGCTTCCACCATGTGCCTGGAAAAGCCACAGACAGTGTCAATCTGTAAAAGCAGCTGGAAGGCAGGCTGTGCCCAGGAAACCCATGGGAGTGGTGCTGCCCAAGGCCATGGGGGCCCACCTCTTGGAGGACTGTGACTGGGATGTAAGACATGAAGTCAAAGGAAATCATTTGGAAGCTCAGAGATTTGACTGCCCCGCTGGATTTCAAAATAGCATAGGGCCTGTCATCCCTTTGTTTGGGTTAATTTCTCCCATTTGGGACAGCTGTATTTACCCAATGTCTGTACCCTCATTGTATCTATGAAGTAACTAACTTGCTTTTGATTTTACAGGCTCACAGGTGGAAGGGACTTGCCTTGTCTCAAATGAGACTTTGGATTGTGGACTTTTGAGTTAATGCTGAAATGACTTAAGACTTTGGGGGACTATTGGGAAGGCATAATTGGTTTTGAAATATGAGGACATGAGATATGGGGGAGGCCAAGGGCAGAAGGATATGGTTTGGCTGTGTGTGCACCCAAACCTCATCTTGAATTACAGTTCTCATAATATCCACATGTTGAGGAAGGGAACTCTTGAGAGATAACTGAATCATGGGGTGGTTTCCCCCATACTATTCTCATGGTAGTGAATATGTGTCATAACATCTGATGATTTTATAAGGGGAAACCCCTTTCACTTGGTTCTCCTTCTTTCTCTTGCCTGCCACAAACTAACATGTGCCTTTTGCCTTCCATCATTCTTGTGAATCCTCCCCATTCACATGGAACTGTGAGTCTATTAAGACTTTTTTTAAAATAAATTACTCAACCTCAGGTATGTCTTTATCATCAGTGTGAAAATGGACTAACACAATCATATTAATTTGTATTTCTTTTGCAAAAGTCATGTAAAAATTTATTTCAGCACATTCTACAATGACTCAATTTTCATTAGAGATAGTTCTGTTTCTCAAAGTGCATTTTATTTAATTTTCTTTAGTTGTTCTATTGAAATTGTATTTATTTGTGCAACATTTATAAGTAGGTAATACTTTATTATATACCTTGAAGTTTATTTGAATGTATTTTTATGGTGGTTTAAAAACGTATTATGGACAAATAGTCTTTGTTCAATATATTTTATATTTCCTGCTCATCTAAATTATACTGGAGCCCAAAAGGTAGATTTTACTTTCTTCTTTATCTACCTCAGCCCCTAAGACCTTGTTAAAGGTTAATAGATAACTAATCATTGATATAATGCCATGCTAAAATACATTCAATTATGACCTCTATGATATCATCATTTCTAATTGAAAAGTACAATATGTGATACAGAGTTAAAAACAATGAAAGCCAAAAAACAAATATATTTAGGATTTATAGTATGCATAAACACCAAGGTCAAAATAGGCTAACATTTAGTTAAGCCCTCTGTTAGATCAAGAAGTTGAGGAATACTGTTCTTACATGACACGCTTCTTCACCTTGGGTTCCCCCTACCACTCTGGAACTTGCTTTATACTATTTCTTATCTATAGTTTTCCTTGGAAGCAGGGCTGGCAAAGAAAGAGAAAGAGAGAAATAGAAAAAAAAAGAAAGAGGAAAAATACTTTAACCACATATAGAAAAATATTTAGTTAGAAAGGCAGGTGGTTTCCTCTCTCTTTAAAAATATTGCTTGCAGGTCCTAAAAAAGGGTTGTTTTTGTCATTACTTTATAAAATTTTTTCCCAAATGTTTAATTTGATTTTTAACTGAGATCCATACTTTGTCATAAAAAGCATGTTTTAAATTACAATGTAATGTGCCAAGATACCAACATTAACTATGAAATAATAGAATACAATTTCAACCTAATCTGTCCAAATTTTTATCCATTTTTCTTTCAGGAAAATGTACTTTGAGTTGAGGTGATTTGTAACAAAACATGCCAACCTACTTTGAATACAGAAATAACAGCAACGATGACAGCTAATGTTTATTGACTTCTTATTGAATGTCAAATTTTTCAAAGTGATTTATGTGTATTGTGTCACTTATAATAACATCAACTTTATGGTTTAGGAAAGGTTTATTATCCCTATTTTATATAAGAAAACAGCAAATTCTGGGACATCACAATTTCAAGTAAGGGTCCCAATGCAACTTAGCTAGGAAGTGGGAGTCTGGGCAATGGACACAATACCAGATTGTATAATATGTGTGCACCACTGGACAAAGTGCTGATGCAATGTGTGTGTGTTTGTTTGTGTGTGTGTGTGTATACATTTATGTTTTTATAAAGTCTTTTGTAAAGACTTTCCTGGGGTGA